AAATTGGAAATGAATGAGAGAAATCGAAGGAGAAATAGTAAGAAAAAAGGTAAAGAAGAACTGGGGGGGATAGTAAAAAGAAGAAGAGAAAAAATGGAAGGAAAAGAAGTAGGAAATATATGATGTCCAGGATAAGGAGAGAAAGAAGTAAAGAAAAGGGGAAGAAAAAAGTATTAGCAGACGAAAAAGGAAATAATTAAAAGGAGACGGAGATAAAAAAAAAAAAAAAGGAGGAAAAGCGGAAGAAGAGAAAGAAGACGAGTAAGGCGGAGAAAAGGCAAGAAGGAAAAAGAGACAGGGGGGAGGAAACAAAAGAAAATAGTAAGAAATGAAAGAACGGGCAAGAAAGAAATGGAATCTGAGAGAGAAAAAAAAAAAGAAAAAATATGAAAAGGAGAAAGGAAGGAAAGGCAAGGAGGAAAAGAAAAAAAGAAAGAAAGAGAAAAGGAGTTGGAAAGGAAGAGAGGGGGGAGGAAATGGGAAGACGAGACGAAGAAAGTGAGGAGTAAAGAAAAAGAAAAAGAAAAAGGAAAGGGGAAGAAAATGCAATCAGGAAAATAAGTTGGGAAAGAGAAAAAAGCAGAGGAAAAAAGGAAGAAAAAGTAAATTGGCGAATGATTACAAATACATGACGGAAGAAGTGAAAAGTGGAGAAAAGAAAAGAAAGAGGAAAATGAAGAAACACATAGGTTTCGGAGAAAGATTTTTTTGGTTAATAACAGGTACCGTATCCGGAATATTCGCCGTAAACATTTTTGCCGTCGGAAAACTCGCCTCAGGAGTTTTACCGTAGGAAACTTTTCTATATAAGATTTTTGCCGTAAAACAAATTTCGCCGCATTTTTATTTTCGATACACTTTTCTTGAACAACTCTTTTGGAGTAATGTTCAATTTAACATGCGAATGTCGATTGAATAAAGAAATTTTAAAGAGGTTAAGATATAATTCTACTTCTTTGAGTGTTCAAATTAGGTATTCAATTTGGGTATTTTAATTATATCACAAGATTGTATTTTAAATTGTTTAAATGTTTTTGTGTTTAATGAATCGAATGTCAATTATACTTTGGATCAAATGGTGGCGTGTTGTTACAACATATATTAAAATATAAGAAAGTATATTTCAATATTTAGGTATTTATAGTGAATTTAAAACAGTTTATGTTTGCCAAGATTGTATATTTCAAACAACTTGCTGAGAGATTGAAAAGGTTATCTTTCTTTGATCAGATATTTTATATTGAAGTTGGTTGCATATTCAAGTTGTAACTTTGTTTGAAATATTATTGCTTTAGTGATAAGTCTGAAATATGAAATTGTGTCACGTTGGTTCTGGTGCCAAGTTGAAATTTTTGCGCTTCTCACTAACGAGGATGAATGATGTAAGATTTTGAATTGATCCTATAACTTTGCTTATTAAAATGTTTAAATCGAAGTAGCAATAGTGTGAAGAACCAGATATATTTGATAACAAGGTACTTCGCATATTAAAAAAAATGCGGTAAAATTGTCTTATGGCAAAAATCCTATACAGGAAAGTTTTCAACGGCAAAAATACATGAGTCGAGTTTTCCTACACCAAAAAATGTTTACGGCGAATGTTCCTAGAACCAACAGGGACAGCTTGTTAAAAGATGTCGGAATGAATGACAATAGAGAAACAAAAATGAAAGAATGGTCAATAAAAGAAGAAAGAGTGATGAAAAGTCTAAAGCAACGGTAAAATTGTTTACGGCGAATGTTCCTAGAACCTAAGTAAAGAAATATATTGAATCAATTCTTAGTTCTGTTGCTAAACAAGTTGATTCAATTTGTCATGCTAGACAATGTTTCTCGCCAGAATCTATCTAACACATTTATAAGCCTACCAATCGTCCATACATTGGATATTTCTGTCACATCTAGACTGGTGCTTCTGTGATATATTTATTGGTTCTTGAAATACGAAGAAAAATCTACAATGTGATAATCTGAGTATAAAGCTTAGCATCGAATATTTCCAGAAGTCTGTGTTGTTTGGTACTGCAAATATCTTGTGAAAGGTTCTCTCTGAAGGCATACGATATGATGAAGGCAAGATTCCTTAATTTGAAAAACTGTTTAAAAAGATAATTTGATATATGTTCTAGATTTAAAAATATATTTCATGGCAATTGTTCTCTATGGTACCTAGATTTTATGAATTGAAGTGCAGTACTAGATTGCCGGCTAGGTCCCATCATTTTACAGTTGAAATGGCTAGATGTAGCCCTAAGTTAAAAAAAAATGTTTACGGCGAATGTTCATGGAACCAACAGGTACAGTTTGTTATAGGGGGCCGGAAGGAATGATAATAGAGAAACAAAAATGAAAGAATGGTCAATAAAAGAAGAAAGAGTGATGAAAAGACTAAAGAAAATAGACAAAGCAAGGACTGAAAGACAGGAATATGAAATGAGTGGAAGAATCATGTTTGAAGTTGAGTTGTCGCAATTTCAGCATTTCTTCTCTTAAGACCATT